TTTTTTTTTTTTTTTTTTACGTAAAATGATGATAAGATAAAATTATTTTTTTTTTCACTATGATAAATTTTTTTAAAAGATTATTTAGAGAATTAATATAAAACAAAGAGATAATCTCAGAGATTCTTGATTTTTTTTTTATGATTAAAAGATCTCGTTTTACATTTTTTCGATTTTTAAGGATAAATAATTTATATTTATATTATATATTTTTTCCCCCCGAAAGACGAATGGAATAATCTCTTTTCGCAAAAATTAAATACTCCTCTCTTAGTTTTCCCATTAATAAATCATGTATCGTAGTATACGTTTTACATTTAACTCTAATTACCATAAAAATGTTTCTTATAGGTACATAAAAGAATATTTCAGAGTATCCAATTTACCCGTAATTCATAAAGAAATATTGAAAAACAAAGATCTTTTGAATTATCTTGAAGAACACACTGGTTTAAATATGACAAACAATCCACTTCTTCAAACATATAAATTGCATCATTTCTTAATGTCACAGGTATGAAATTTTTTTATTTACAAAAAAGAGAAAGACCACTTTCGATTTTTTTAATGCACTCGTTTGTAATGATACGTAATGATACGTAAATTTCAATGGAATAAAAAAATATTTTATTTTTATCAATTTATATTTTTTTACAACTACGATGGCAACTAACGATATATCTTAAATTATTATAATAACGATTATATTTGCAGATAAGCATGAATATCGCCCTTCCGGAATGGGCAACCGAGCAAGTTCGAAGTAAGATGGAAAAACTCGTGGCGTTAGAATACGATATCTTATCTTACAACACGTTAATGAAACGATTGAATGGAGGTTTTATTATAAAAGAGTTCTTAAAAAATCTAAATAAACCAGGGAATACAAACGCTCCCAAGATTTATGTATATAGTGGACATGAATTAAACATCGCAGCTTTTGCCAAAGCGCACGACTTAACCGAACCAAAACTACCTGCCTTTGGATCTGCAATCGTAGTCGAAAAATTACGGAATCATAGTGGTGTGGCTCATATTCAAGTAAGTATTAAGTTGTATATAATGAAATACTTTTTAAACTCTCTTTATATTAATTATAACGTAAAAACAATACACAAATATAAAATTTATTGTCTTTTTTTTTCTTATATATATTGAATGATAATATTATAAAATTTGCCCCATTCAGATGCATCTGTGGACTGGAGTTACGGAACAATTAATCACTTATAAAATTCCCAAATGTGAAAAAATATGTAATTATAACAAATATTTGAAGCTGATCGAACACGTTATTCCTTTAGATGAAGAATTAAATTGTTTATGGAATAACGTATCGATAAATTCTTTGCAAGCATATTATGATGGTGATAAAATTCCTGTATACAATGTTATATCGTTATAACTTCACAAGTTCCGGCCAATCGCGATCATATATTTGCAAGGGATACGAAACTTGAGTTTCGTTTCATTTTTGTTAATAATCACAATAGAAGAATCTTTTTTTTTGACGATGAGCGAAAAAGGCCAAATATTTGAAAAAATTTATGATGTGATATCATTCCTTGATACCTAGAATGATTTCCTCTAGGGATCGTTTGTAAGCATATATCTAGAAAAAAATAGCTGATATAGTGAATAAATATTATATACATATAAAATAAAAATATGAATTTTGAGATTTGTACTATTATAAAGATCGTATTCGTATTCGTATATGTATAAATGTATCTATATATGTATATATAAATATAAAATCATATAAATGATATAATAGCATATTTATTACAATACAACATCTAATGAAATAATATTATTAATAAAAAGAAATATTAACAAAGCTAAAATCCAAGTTCAAGTACTTACGCTGTAAAATTTCAACGATTTAAGATTTCTGAAGGATAAGAATTAAAATCATTAACGCTATCTCTCGAGTACGTAAGATACTTTTTCAAATGATAAAATAGAATAAGAATTGGGAGTTAGCGGCATCTCTTGAGTATTTTTAAAAAGAGGTTTTTCAAACAACAAATGTCTGATATTCGAGAGATAATATTAGCGGTCAAGTTCTTACTTTATCTTTATTCTTTTTTTACTATTTTCTATTCTTTCTTTATGTATTTAATTTGCAACATTATCTAAAAATGGTACTGATTTCGATATTTTTATCCTATCTTTATCTTCCTTTTACTATTCGCTCTTCTTGTCTATTCTTTCTCTGCAAAATTTTGGCGCATGGCATACGAAATATTGCATGTCAAGTGAACTCACTTTCGTTATTTCTTTTTCAAAAAACAATGCAATCTTAATTTTAATCTTAATCTACCGTAAAAAATATATATATTACATTCTCAATTTTACGTTCTCTAGAAGATTGAATCTCGCAAAACAATATATCTTTATATATGATAAATATTTCACCACAGCAAAAGTAATGAAATTTAAATTTAAATAAATGAAAATTTCTAATTAAACGAAAAAAATAAAAATTTTAAAATATTCGATCAAAAAAATGGCACTATTGAAAATTTATCGAATCTATTATATAATTTGTAATTTTGTAAAAATTATAATACATTAATAATCAAAACATTAGCTATTATTAAATATAAAACAATATATGTATTATATAGTTTTAATGAAAGATTATAAACAAAATATAAATTCACAAATTACTTTTATATACTGCATTTACAAAATATATTTAATCTATAATACTATGTATTTCGTCATTTAATTCTTTAATTTATAATCATTTCACATATAAATGATTTTTAAATATTTGAAAACTCACATGTAAATATCGTAAAAGAATAGAAATACAAAAATTTAATTTAATTTTATTTTTAAAAATAATACATTTAATATTTTACACATTATTACAAGATTAATTTATGAATTAACATTGCATTTCCAGGTAGACAATGACTTTAAAATTACAAATAAAAATTAACAAAAAATAAATTATAAATATGCATAATAATATTTTTTATTTTAAAAATTTTTTTAATATTTTATTAAAATAATTAAAATAAAATTCTGATCTTCACTTTTATTAAACAATTTTTTAAAACTAAAAAAATATATGATAGTGAAATTATCATTCATCTTGTGTTTTACAATAATTTATATAAATATAATCATATATAAGATGTAAACAAAACATTCTGTATCACAATGTATACAAAATATTTATTATTTGTAATTTTACATTGAAATTTAGTTTTAATTTCAATCATTATTTACTTTACAATTTTATTCTACACAATTATATTATTATATTACAATTTATATGATACAATTGAACATGATATTAAAATAATTAAGGATAATATCTATATCTAATAATATCTAATAATATCTCATCCATGGAATAAAATATAAATACATTGTATGTTCAATAAATAAATAAATTAAATAAATTTATATACATAAATTATATTACATAAATATGTTCTGATGTTGTATTTTTTGTATTTTACAATGTATAAAATACAAATAATTTAAAAATAAAACTACAAGAAAAATATAAATGTTTATAAATTTGATCTGAGAAACGAAATTTGTATAAAAACAAAAATTACTATATTAAAATACTAATTTAGTAAATTAAAACTTTTTTTTTAATATCCATATAAAATTCTCACTTCATGATTTATAACTTGAGGAAATTACTGTTCTAAAATCTTGTCATTGACAAAATAATAAATCAATGATATTTTTATTGCTGTTATTCAGTTCATCTAGTTTTTAACATACACACATATACACACATACACACACACATATATATATATTTTACTTTCCATTATGTCTATTTATATAGATTTTAAATGTTATTCTTATTATCTATCAAATGAATTAAAATATGAAATGGTTTGTATGTATTAATAAGTAAAATAGAATTTTTAAATCTTTTTCTATCATTTCAGGAAAATCAAATCAATAGATGGATAATATTTCTAAATCTTTCTCTATCATTTTAGGAAAATCAGTTTTAGTTATGCATAGGAGATACATTAAAGAAATATTCATTTGTTGAGATTATAAATAATTCACATAGCAATTTTTTTTTAATTCGATGTTTTATATTGATAGTGTTTTATTTAATAATAGAAATTTCATTTTCTATAAAATGTTAGGGGAAAAATTTCTGAATCAGGAATAAATTAGTAAAATATTATTTTGGAATGTGTTTATGACTTATAAAAGTTTGTTAAATACTTACTGTTCATATTTTAAATCAAACATGATAACATGATATATGCTATTCAAATCATGATTTGAAAAAAATAACTTGGTAACATTCTTGGAAATGTAACATTCTTGGAAATTTTACATGAAAATTATCATGTGTGATTTTCCTTTAATATATTTCTAATATATTTAATATTTAATTTCTTTTTCATATTATTTCTTTTATTTTGATTTTTCGTGTTTAATTCTCTATCCATGGATATGTCATCATTGAAAAAACTTATAAATATGTGTGACAATGATCATCAAAATATTAAACATCATATCCAATTTTATGAATTTATCTGCTTGAGATATTTTTTTAGCATCTTATATCTTTCTGAAAATTTATGTACATATTTATTTATAAATTTTAATTATATATAAATTCATATAATTTGCATACTTTCTGCATATTTGCAAATTCAAAATATTATTTTTCCAACCATTCTATCATTCTTCTCATGTTATGTATTTTGATAGTGTTTTAATTATAATTATTTTTAATTATATATAGTAATATTCATTACTATTTTATATTCATATTATGTATTATTCATTATTATTCATAAATAATACATTGTAAATAAATCATCATCTTCATATATTCAAAAATATAGGATATACTATGAAAACGAATTATACATATTTCAGTAACCAGTTTTATTAATAACTAATAAATATAATATAATTAAAATTTGGGATCTAGTTTTTTAATAACATGTATAATTTTTTTAATAGCTAATTTTAATTCATCATCTCCAACTTCAAAAGAAAGTACAAACCTTATGAGTGATTCGTTCATTACCATACATTTCACGACAACACCTTTGTCGTTATTATCATCATTATCAAGTTCTTGCAAACAGTTAGAAAATTTTTTTGCATGAACAATATTAGAATCAACTTCCATGAAAACCATATTTGTTTGTACAGTAGTTAAATCAACCAAAAATACTGATGATTGTATATTATGTATTGCAGATGCAAGAGTGAAAGCCCTTTTATGATCATTGGCTAAATTTGGAATGTGTTCAAGAGCTACAAGTCCAGCTGCAGCAAGAATACCAACTTGTCTCATACCACCACCAAGTACTTTTCTTATTCTTCTTGCATTTTCAATAAATTGTTTAGTTCCACAAAGAAGGGAACCTACAGGAGCACCTAAATTGAAATTATTTTTTTTTTTTTTGATTCTATAAATTTATTTCAAATTAATTAAAAATATTTTAATAAATATTACTTATTATGATAATAAATATAATATATGATATATCATATCATAATTTTTAAAAATAAAAAAATATTTATAAAATATATAGAAAGAAATTAACTATTTTAAAAGACTAATAATAGAAATTGTAAGAAAATAAATACCTAAACTTTTACTGAGGCAAAAAGTTACAGAATCAAAACCTGAAACAATATCCTTTGCAGGTATCTTTGATGCTATACTTGCATTCCATAATCTAGCTCCATCCATATGCAATTTCAAATTATGTTTTTTGCAAAATAATACTAATTCATTTAACCAATTTTGTGGGACAACTTTTCCATTAATTGTATTCTCTACAAGTACTAATTTTGAAATAGGCTCATGATCTCTATTTCTCCGAAGTTTTGATTCAAGTTCTTGAAGATCAAAAGTGCCATCATTGTTGTTCTTTAATGTCCTAAGATTTACTCCTGCAATTTGAGCACTACCAGTCTGTTCATGTAATAAACAATGAGCAAGATCACCACAATATGCTTCACTTCCACGAACATCACAATGGATCATTACTAAAATTTCAGAAAATATTTTTTTAAATAAATTAAAGATTAAATAGAAATTAATTAGATTTAATAATAAATAATTAATTAGATAAATAATAAATATTTTTTAGTAACTAATAATGTTATAATATATAATAATATAATATAATAATATAATAATAAATATTTATAAAATTTATATATATATACAAATATTATTAAAAACTTTGTTTGTATAAACAAAATTTTATTTTAATGTATAAAATTAAAAACAATAAAAAGATAATATTTATATTACAATAGAAATCTTTATGTTTTGTTTGTTTTTTCTTTTATTTTCTTTTTAATTTAAATTTGATTTAAATTATATTTTATATTATTTTTTTTTTTATTTTTATTATTCTAATTATTGTATTTATTCTTATGAAGTTAATTATTTTTATTATAATATATTCATAACATGTAAATAATGCAATACATATAATTTTTTTT